TCGACAAACGCAGTTTCCTCACCACGAAACGCTTTATTGCTGACCTGTATTCACTCGGGATTTAACTTCTGCGAACATTAACACGGGAGCGAGCGAGCCGAAGTTTTGTGTCTGGATGAGTTTATATTCTTCTCCGGTGGCGACCAAAGTACGTGGAGCCTTTAATTGCGGACGGTGGGGTATTGTGCAGGTGGTTCTTGCAATTTAAATAGCACATGACAGAAAGACGCTCTCGCGTTCCGCTCCCGTAATCGTGAATCGCGTTTGGCTCGACTGGCATTCTTTGTATCTAATACGTATACGTGCTCAGCATTTTTTGTTTGCAGTGCGTGCGTAGAATTTTTCGTTTAATTAACATCGGGCATTTATTAAATACTCAATGGGTTATCGTTCTCTTGAACTACTGAACTAAGAAAGTAAATTTAAGTTTAGTTGAAGTTTTTTAAATTAACAACCGAACTTAAGAATAAGTTACCAGCTTAAAAATCTGAGAGATAAGCTGGAGAAAGTTTTTAATTAATTATCTGTACAATTTCAATAATCAATGGAATGCGTCGAGATTTTTTTTTCTTAAAGCAGCAGGTTCATTTTCTTATCTTCGTTTTTGAATTAATAAGCGCTTCAATGAAATCATAGAAAGTCTTTCTACTTCTTGTGTCTATCACATTTTGTTCACTACTTATATAATGTACACTGTTAGAAATTTCTCAATGAATTTTAATTAACATGTAAAGGAAGCATGTGGTTATGCAAGAAATTAAATGTAATGAATGATGTAGATAAAAACTAAATTACAGTAGTCTTAAATGTGATGAACGTGTGTATTGAAATTAATGAATACATTATTATAGAAATTAATTTACACGTTAATGAAAAGTACGAGATCTGTAACTGAAAAGTAATTTACGTTAATGTAAGAAACGTAAACGTATTAAACGTTAAGCGTTAATAGTATTAGGCTTAATTAAAATATTATTAATATTCGTAAATGTAAAAGTACATTAAATTTCAACACGCTTAACTTTTAAGTTAAGCGTATTGAAATTTAATGTACTACAAACTTAAATTTCATTAATATGTACATTAATAGTTATTTCAATTACGATTAATTAAATGTCATTTATATCCGTAAATGAAAAGTATATTAAATTTCATTACACTTAATTTTTCAGTTACTGTAAACTTAAATCTCATTAACATGTGCATTAATAGTCCTTTCAGTTACAGAGAAATTAAACTTCATTCACCAATGTACATTAAAAGTTAATGAAATTTAAGAACATTTCTAACAGTGTATAGATCTCACACATATGACTTATATATATAGACAAGAACATGTGCGCGATTTAAAGACTTCTCTGATGCCATACAGTGTTTCATGTGCTAAAAATGGTATATCAAGACTTGACGTCATCGAAGTTGGTCGTATACTTGTTCAAATATCATGTGCTCCGGCTATCCGCTCTTCCAGATATAGTCGTTTTTAAATAGACACAGTCATCTGTGTCTATTTAAAAACGACTATGTCTGGAAGCATATATATGGAATACAAACATTTATGTCTTGAAATTCGGTTCGTTAAATTTATGAAAGTTTGTCGAGCTCACTTTATCGACGTATATGAGAGTGAAGCACGTGAAGATGATACAAGATGAGCAACACGAATAGCAAGTCAGCGTTATGTTGTTATGTAAACTTCATGACATATCTCGACTGAAAATGCCAATTTCTCAACTTTCCGCGAGTAATATACGTTATATTTTTTATACTTTCAAGATTTCTCACGTACTCTCTAAAAGTAAATTAGTAACTTCAAGTGCTACACTTATAACTGATGTAATCATTAGCGAATACTTATTTACAGCTTTTCAGTAAATACATATCAATCCGAAGAAATCATAACTTTTAAAAGTGAATCAGTATATTATTACTGAAATATTAGCTGAAAATTATTAGTTATAAGTGTATAGCACTGAAGTCAGTAATAATACACTGATTCACTTTTTAGAGAATATTATTTTACATTTTGCCAAGGTTAACAAAATTACTTTAAAGACAATTTCAATAATAAACACACTTTTGTATTTGCGCATTCCATTTTTTTTTTCCTTATGTGTATAATAAAAATTTCAGTCGAATCGTTTTAATCATTGTTTATCCAAAGCCAACATCGAATAATATATGCATCTATTTAACATTCGTTCATGGATATTTCACAAATCAAAATGTGTCACGTTTCCACGACGAATTTTATTATGTTCCGCGTGCAATTACAATATTTTCACCTCGATGTACATTCGCGTGATGCTGCTCCCGGCGAATATTCGTCGAGTGAACGCGCATATCGCCGTACGTATCGCCTAAATATTCATATGTTAAATAAACTAGCTCGTAGTCTCTCCAATATTCCCGATGAATCGCTATTTAACTCAATGCCCGATTTATTTTCGACGTTACGTGTAACATTTCCCAGTGCCAATAGCCGTTTCGTTTATTATCAAAGCAAGATGTCTGATGTCGGCCCGCGTCAAAGGATCGTCTCGTTTTACGTTCGGGCTTTAATGAGTTCAGGTGAACGGCCGTATAGCACGGGAGTATATAAACGCGAATGTTCGTCCTGCTCGTGTTCGTTCACTGTATTACTCACTTTGGAGCCACTGAGGACAGTCGGCGAACGATAAGATGGCACAAGACGCGATAATGTGACACTATTTGTCAAGGCGTTTCGCTATTCCGCTCGCGGCTGCAGAATTACCCTATACAAGTGGAGAACTGATCTTTTGGGAGATGTGTTTCCATAAGGAAACTAATTCGGTAGATGTTCTACTTTAGTCGCTTTATACTCGACTATGAGAATTTGCTTTTTCGACAGTCCACGGTTTTGTTTTCGCAAACTCCCATAAACGAATTTGAAATGGGGATGATTCTAAGTTTTTGTTTAATTCATGAATTCTGCAACGAGTACTGGATATTAATCCACCGGGTGTGAATATTATTGTTATGATGCATGCGAATAAGCACAAAGTATCGTAATTTTTTTCTGACAAATGAGAATTTTACATTAAGATCGCATTTGCTTGTAAATAAGTATAAATGTATAATGTATATATGATGTATAAATCAATTTCTATTAAGTCATTAAAGGATATTAAAATTTTTTTGTGATTAATAAATTATATCGGTCTGCTGTTCATTTGATGCTTTGAATGCTTTGAAGCATTCTTTGATTGGTTGATTAGTAAAATTCTTTTTTTCTGATTGTCAGTCAAATACTTCGAAGCATTTATGTATAGCGCAAATGGACGGCACCAATTGTCGCACATTGATGTAATATTATTCTTTTGTTATACTATTATCTTTGTTAGACTCATTTTAGACAATCTATATTTTGCGTTGGAAGATTCAAAATTCTATTTATATAATTTTATATATGTATATCGTATTTTGCATTTTGATATAGTGCGTATATGTACATTTGTATATTTATCGTGCGCGCGTTCTGAGGCTTTAAATATGCTTTTCATATATTTTAGTGTACGTGAAATTACAGATATTTTATCACAAATTTTAAATTGTGTTAAATTTTAAGTTGTAGCTGCAATTAATACTTATTGCAAAATCTTACTGTCAAACCGTGTTTAATTTATGATAGGAATTTTTATATAATTTTTACGTGTTTTCAAAATTAGGTAATTATTTACTTTTAACTTACTGAAACGTCTTTTATTTCTTTAATTACAAGGCCAATAAATCGTATCCGTCAGCTATTTCAGTCTATTTCCTGAATCATTACGAACGTTAACGGTTTCGTGAGAGAGTCCGATTAACTTCAAACTCATGTTCGGCCTTTCGCTCGTTTCGCCGTAACTATCGACAGTGCTGTGGAAACAGACTTCTCCTTTTGCCTTACTAGTCTACCAGTTACTTGCCGAACTTCAACAGCGACTATATAGATACGTTTATAGTCGATCGTATAGTTCACAATCGAAATTTGATCATCGGAAGCTTTTGCCACGAGCTTCAGCAAGTTCGACTCTAATTCCCTTCCTTATTCTTGCCGAATTCAATTCAATCGCGTAACGGCCAATTTTCCCGTCACGAGTTTGAGAAATCATTTTTAGATTTAAACTGAAATATCGCGAACTTGGGTGTTTCTTGCGCCACACGCGCTGGCTTTTATAAAATTCTGATAAATTTTTTCTAAAAGAAAACACGGATTTTCTATTTGCCATAACATTAATCGAAATGATTCAAACGACTAAAATAGATATCGAACGTATTATTTATTATATACCTGCGAATAGGGAAAATGAACGATGGAATCTGTCATTGTAATCCCATCCATTAAGCGGTTAACCGAGGATTACCGCGAATGCGCTTATGCAAGTTTAGTTGTATTTTGTCGTGATGGTCGCACCAACATCATCATAATCATCCCATCGCGCCAATGCGTTTCGTTGCGATATAATCGTTTATTTGCGCGTCGCGCTAAATGGGTAAGTGTGTCGAACCGGTATTACGCACTCGGTTATTTGCAAAACAATTGCATCACCGTACGTCACTGTTTTGCAAACAAAAGATTCGGTTATTAAATAATACGTGCCATGAGCTCTCGATTTCTCCTCTCTCTCTCTCTCTCTCTCTCTCTCTGTCTCTGTCTCTATCTCTATCTATTTGTTTTTCCGACAAACGAGAAGTAGAGACGAAGAGACGGAGGACGAATGCGCGAGAGGAGCAGGAGGAAGAGGAAGGAAGTTTGCAAACATTCGCGCGGACGCGTGCACGCCCATGGCGAAACATTGTAATGCAAATCCGCGACGCGCACGTCAAGAAGCAGGAAAAACCAACCCCCCCCCCCCCCCCCCCCCCCCTCGGTGACAATTAATATCACAACGCTCGAGCCCGCAAGAATTCCCACCGCGTCCTTCCGACTCGGCGCGCGTGACACGAATGCACACTGAACGCTATAACCTGCGGTTTTCCTTGTCTTTGTGTTGCAGGGTAAGACCAGCCCACCCGGACCTGACGTCTCTCGCCGACGACGACGACGACGAGCGAAACTCGCGGTGCAGTGCCGTCTCGTTTTCACTGCGACACGACTTCATCCGTCAGCAACGTTGTCCCTCATTCTTGTCGTCGTTCCGAATCGCGTTTTCTCGAAGGAAGTGCAGCGCGGATCCGATGTTGAGACTCGCGAGTACCGTCGAGCATTGAAATCGACCCGCGAAAAGTCACGCGCGATTCCGCTCGATCGTGAGATTACGCGAAAATTCGTCGTGCAATAATACGTATCTTTTTATCCGAGACGCGTCGATCGCAACGTCGTGCGCCCTTCAGTGCCGGAATATACCGTCCCGGATAATCGTAGGACTCGTCGTCGTCACTCGCCGTCGACGACATGATCTTCAGGGTGACGTTGTTGATTGTGTGCACGCTGCTGGCTGGTGCGAGATCTGAACCGAGACCGCGGTCGCGACCAGTGCCGATCTACTCGAATCAGTTCGCCGTTTACGTGCCCAGCGGATCGGAGACTGCCGAGGAGATCGCCCAGGAGCACGGCTTCGACAATCATGGACAGGTGAGTGCACCAGCTGTTTCTTATGCAAAGGGGAAACGGCATTGAGGATATCGCTTTAAAGAGTTTTTCTGTTGAAGCTATAAACAGAACTGTGAAGAACACGTGATGAATAATTTTAAATATTATAAATTCAATAATTTTTGTTAAATTTTCTCGTAACAGGTGGAAATATACGATATAGAGAATAAAAATTTAAAGCAGCGAAACAATTCATATGTTTTTCTCCATTTTAAATTTTATATTCTCTCTTTTTTTAAAAAAATGTACACAGTAAATATCTATTCAAATTCAATTTTTGTTTCGTAAGATTTTTTAAATATTGAAAAAATTATTATTTAATTAATTTTAATATTATTATCGAATTGAATTATAAAGGAATTCTCAAATAGCTTAGAAAACTGGATTCTCTCTGTAGAGCGATGTTCTGAATTCTCTCGAGTGCAGTTCTGAATTCCTTGAGTATCCTTGCACTTTGCAAGATTACCGTGGGACCAGTTAGCTTTTGGCAACGCGCATTCGTCCTTCTCCACGTCGAATCACGTATTGACGTTTATCTGGCGCCGATGATGAGATTAGATGTTCCGTTACGGGCGGATGCTGCACTGTCGTGGTATGAGATCATAGACCGGGAAAGGGTGTCGATCATGTCGAACAGGTTAGGGGAAAGAGGAAGGCAGAGAACTCAATCTAACGAGACAGATTGGATGGTGGCACTGCCGGAGGGTTCTTCAATGTTGTTATTCGTATTAGAAATGACTATTCGACGTATGTTTTTCACAGTTTAGAATGATAATATTATAATACGTGTGAGCGAGTGAGAGTCATGAATTAAGATTTCTTTTAATTTACGAGCTTCCCTTTCCCCCTGTAGGAATATTACCTACAGAATTATTATATTACATCTTGTCACTTATTATATTAAAGCAGATTAATACAATTTAATAAATTAATATTATATGATTAAGACATAGTTTTACAACTCACAATTAACTTTTAACCAAGGTTCAATTTATTTCTCACATTTTACGATGTAAGATATATCATTTCAGCTAGTGCTCTCTAAAAGTTGATTAACGAAAAACCTTGAATCTTTTAAACTTAAGTTTTTTTTAGATTTAAATTTTTCAGTTTTTTTTTTTAAAGAAGATTTTGAAAGATTATTAATCTGCGAGTTAAAAGCGATTGAAGGAGAGTAGATTAGTATCCGAAAGTACATTAATGCTTTCCCTGTCTAATATCTTATAAACATTTAAAATATTCGTAGCTTAAACTTTGCTGTAGAAAAATTAGTTTTAAGACGTAGTTCGATGAAACTTTGATTGGTAAAGTTTGAAAAGATGTAATGTATAATGTAACTACCTTGTGTATCGACAGCATCGTGTTGATCGGTGCTTAACAAGTGCAACCCTGATTACTTTAAAGTAACAGACAGAGAAAAATTGGTGATTGGTACCTAACGTGTTTTGCTGCAGTTTCGTTTTGTGCAACTTTACACACCGTTGTCTATGACTGGATACGGGAAGTGTGGTCGGTTTACCACTGATAAGGTAGTTGATAAATATTATACTGTGTATCCTGGAGTCGTGCATCGCTCACGGTCAGGCAATGGCGAACGTGACAGAAATATCGCACGCTAAACAGTCGTTTATATAGCCCGATTGCACGCTAAGTACTCGTTTATATTGCTGGATACGTGGCTGCAAGTATGTTAGCACATTGACCGATATATACGAAGTGTTCTAGAATTTGCATATAATAGGATTTGTTCAGTAATCCACAATTGATTCCTTTTCCCTTAATAAAAATTAGTTGACTTATCTCCATTTATAATTTTTCAATTCGATGCTTAACTCTCCGTCGACAATGTGAAATTTTCACCCTTTGTCCGTAATTCCTTCGAACTTTAGTACAGATTTTTTCGGAGTGTATAAAAATTAAAAAAAAATCTTACTGAAAAGCTTTAACAATTTTTAATATCATAAAAGTTGAATTGTATTGTACCTTTTTAATTTAATTTAAATTTGTCTACCAGATTTCACTATTAAAAAAATTGACTGTGGAAAGTTAATATTCCGATATAATGAATCAGGGAAAACCTAGACACTGAAAAATAATTGAATTTAAGAAACTAGATGGTGTTATTATTTTTAACAGTTTATTGATTATTTTTACATCTTTATTAGAAAGAAAACTCGTTTTTCCTTAACTTGAAATCTTATTATGTCACAAATGAGTTCCAACTTTGGATGAAATTATCTTTTATCTTCTACCAGATCATACGGATTTTCATCCAACTTTTCAGTTACATCACATTTAAAATGTAAAAACATCGGCGTAATATATGCAGTTTTGAAATATCATGCAAACGACGTAACCATGTGTATATCGGTATATGTAAACGTAGTGTAATATAAAATATTTCCTACCCATATGCTGACCGCACAGGTTCTCTCGTCAAGACCAGATCTCTGTCAAGGTTCTCAGCATTCGAGCGATTTGCATTTGTAGCATGTAAAACATCAGTTACGACATTAAATTGCCACGGTATAACAATTGCGCAACTACTCGAGTTGAAAGTGGTGTCATATAGGTAAAAAATAATTTTAGTAGTAAATATATAAATTATAGGCATAATTGTAAAATATATATATTTGAAATAATATTAAAATTTTAATTGGATTATTTGAGCACTGCAGGAATTAAAATAAATTGCATTGCTGAGTAAATTACATCAATTATACTTAGGATTAAACGCATTTAATTAAAAAATATTTATATGTTATTATTGATTATGTAACATGCACGTGTACATTTAACTTATAAATAGCTTTGTACAATGCCAATTTTTTAACAAGACCATTTTATACGTCGTTTTAATTATTTCGATTACATTTACGTGCTATTTTAATTTTGATACAATATTTTTCATGATAGCGCAATGAACATTCGCAAAAATTGTACGATGTAATTGAGCCATGCTGTTTAGCTGCAGGCGTAGTAGGAAGAGTTCCATCGGTTCTTTTTCTTCAGTATATATTCACGCGCTTTCGCGTTTCCCTAGTCACGAGTAATGAACTTTTTATATCTACCCGTAGACTGGGAGAGATCGTGCTCCTGTATTTTCTTCGTGCTTCAATTCATTGGCGTGACGAGAATTTTCGCTCAGCGGATTTGACGACGCACTTACAAAATCTGATTTTATCAAATGAACGTGAGTAATCGAACCGAGTCGAATGTCGTTGCATGTAAAACGGAGCGAGTTTTGCTACGGTTATATGATCCTATCAGCGATATTCTCGATTTCGATGGATAAGCGACAAAGCGCGAGCGGAGTCTTTCGCGTTGAGCAACTATCTGCTGGATCTGGGATTTTATGACGAGATGAATCGCGGCAGTGTGGAAATTCTGAAAAATAATTAAGCGCTGGAAATTACGAAAAGGGGAAATGCAAGGTAAAATTGCACAGAGAACGCTTCTGATAACTTATCGCTTATTTGTATGAGCAATAAAGCATTACAAGTATCCAGAATAATGTGTTTTTCTTTCATGTTTTCATAGAGAACTATTTAACGGTTAAAATAAAATTGTTCAAAAAGTTAATGTGAAAAGATCGTCCCCGCTATTGTTTAATGAAAAAAATGTCCAGAATACAATTGCAAGAGTTATATCATAGATATCTAATAAGATGTTTTTTGAAAGATGCTTTTTGCATTTATTTTGAAAATCTTATAAAATATACAGCTGTAATGCGAGGTATAATTGACATTTCATTAATAATTACTTAAATAACGTTGAAACGAAACATTTATTTTCTCACTTATATTCAACTGTATTAATTGGTGAAATCGATTTCAAAAATATTTTTCTAGAAAATTAGAGGATTCCTGCTTATAATAAGTAAAAATGTCATAATTAGAAAGTTTTCGTTAAACGTGTGTTTTAAATCATCTTCTCCTATAATACAACATTAAAAATAATTCCTCAAACCGGTTGTTCATAGTAAGAATCTCATATATGCAGCTTTTTTTTTCTCCGTGAAGTCTTCTCCGTATATAGACGGCGACCTAGACAAGCATCCTCTGTTATTGGTTTAACCTGGAGCACCATCGACACGGTAAACGTCCAGGGAGCCGTTACTTCTCGTAGATAACAGTTGACGTTCCATGTGCGAGCAGTATCGTTCCTCCTTTTGCTATTTTCCGCACATTCGTTTTAAGTGATTTTACAGAGAACGGGGAAAAATGTGAGGGTTAAAAAGATGAATCGAAAGGAAGGGAGAAGAAAAAGAGAGAGAGAGAGGAACAACGTAATAATCGTCATGTACTCAGTGTATCAACGAGTGGTTGCATTTGCTAGGCCGCGGTAATAAACTTTTATCTCTCAACACGTATATGTATTCGCGGAGAAACGTTCTCTTTTTTTTTTTCTCACACCCCTACGTTGCCCTTCTCTCTGTCCGGAACGCGAAACCGACCGGTTGATGCAGTGGAAGAAGAGGGTGGTTACGAGGGATAGAAAAAGGCGTCGCGCGTGCGGTGAAAAGAGGGAATTTTGCCATCCCGTACGTCATCTCCCGACGAGATAAAAACTTTAGCGCTCGTTGTTGGAAAAAAGTGGCTACCGCGTGGGCTGGAGTGAGGGCGATGATGAAAACACCACGAGAAAATCGCAGAAACTACCGAGCCACGGTCACGGATCCGACAACGGACATGTCGTGTATCGCGTGGCGGAAACGACGCATTTCGCGGGTTGAAAAGTTTTTTTTTTTTTTTAACGTCACGTTAGAGAGTACAATTATTGCACAACTTACGAGGGTCCTGTTTTAATTGATTGAAATCAATTCGATTCTTCTTGGAATATATTGTTGAACAAAAATCTAAGGGACATATATTTTTTAATATACGTCTAATCTCAAATTTAAGAGGTGAAATAACTATTCAAAACTAACGTTTATATTTTACTCCTATTAATTATCAGTGAAATGATAAGATGTATAAACA